ACAACTTTAATGGGTGTATAAATATACAAGTTGCATTTCAAGTTTGGAGTGAGCTTTAAACCCAGTAGAATTTGATGCAAGGAGCCTCATTAAGAGTATGATCACCTATTAGGCTTGGAGCAAATCTAGTGTCTGCGCAGAAATGTAAAAATGATCTTCTGAAGTGATAAGCTGATTTTAGAAGAATCTAATGCATGGACAAATTTTAATGTTAGTGGATCTATACAGCATTTGGTCACATTTTATGGTAAGGATATTCAAAAAATTTATAGAAAAGGGGATCATTTATTGACTTACACAAAATTCCTGACCCTACCCTTCTTAGTGCTAGCCTTAGGTGCTGTCTGAAGGTGTAGCTCCCTGACTAGGTGGTTTTGATTAGTTACTTATTGGTTTTCCAATCTGGAAAGTTTGTCAACAATTTTGAAGAGCCTTTCCACATCATGTTTCGGATAAATATAAGAAGAGATAATATTTCAGTAAAAAAATTTATGCAATATCAAGTGTGAATATATAGAAAATTCAACCTGCATCTTGCAAAAAAAAAAACAATTCAATAAAACTAAAAACATATTTTTCTTTTTTTTTGAGAATTGGTGCTTGCATAATTTAATAAAACATGTTATTTTCTTTCAGATTCAACAGAAGAAAAAAAAAACTAAATATTTATTAAAAAAAATACTTCTCATTTTTTAGTGCAATTTTGAAATTAATCCTGTTGTTGTTTATCACAAGAGTTTATTTCATTAAATGAAGACATGTTTGAAGACTTTAAAAATGTAAAGTTTAATGTCATTTTCAATATGAACCTTTTTTAAAAGAATTTTATTTTATTTTTTTTCCTTTAGCAACTGTTAGATTATTTTTGGCATGGATGTCCGAAAAGGAAATAATTCTGATATCTCGCATTGACTGACTGCTATTCTATATCGGAGGAGTATTATGATATTAAATTAATTTTATATCTTCCATTCAGTCAGTATAAAAAATAAAATTATTCATTATACTGAATTTAATAAAAGCGTATAGAATAAAAAATTATATTCTTAAACTATTGGTTATATAAGATTAAAGAAAATTTAGTTTTAAAGTAAACATAAATAACAAATTCTTGATTATTGTACTGCTGGTCTTCTGTACTTCTTTAGGTTTTATTTTTACTTTTTCCCCGCGCTCTGTTGGACAGGCATAGAAATGCAGTCTTTCTACTGTGTTCTTTGACCTCATAGGATACAGTACATAAATAAAACGTTATTTCTAGTTCTGTTTTAATTAAAAGGTAAGCATTATCTTAAAATCCAGTTAATTACTTTTAAACATTTCTCAGACAAATATTGGATTTTAAAGAGAATTTTAAAATTTGTTGGTTACATTTTTCCTACACAATGTTGGCTCGAAGAGTCGATGAGTGACGAAAAAATTGTACCAATGTTTTAAAAATGCCTAAAAAGTTTAGGAAATTAACTTTTTATTTTAATCTGGGTTATCACTGACATTATCTTTCAAATTAGAAACGACATTTAAATTCAAAGAAGGCATTTAAAATATAAAATGTGTTTTTTTTTTTTTTTTTTTTTAGAAACTTCGTGGTGGTATCGCCCATATTTTATTTGTTTAGCTTGTCAAAAAAAATTCTGGCAAAATGGTGTCTGACACGAAAGTGTATTCAAAGCGGATGTGTGTCGCTGAATTCCTCTCTACGGAAAAGAAAATATGAGTATTGATATTCATTATAACGCTTGCTGAACATTTAGGGTGTCCGAACAGTTTATTTTTAAACACAGGTTGTAGGTAATGTGCTTGAGCAATGGTGACAGCGATGTGTGTTTAAAAAACTATTGTTCCGGGAGGCCTTTCAACAGCTGTCGATCTGCAAAAATGAAGGTTTTTCTCGTTCATCACTGCCGAAAATATATAGCTAACGATGTTAACAATATTAAAGAAAAAGTAATGTTTTTAGGGAACTAAAAACTTGCACTAACAACCGGTGTTAATGGGCTTCATGTCTGTAGCAGCACGAGTATTGAATTCAGAGGTTTTTAACAAACCTGATTGGAAAAAAAAACTGTTTTAGTACAATGGAAACTTCTGCATTATAAGAATCTACATAAAATTCTAATTTCAAAGAATAAGAATAAAAAAAATAAATAAAGAAAACTTATTAATTTTTAATTTAATGATAAAATGAAAAAAAAAAAACTGACGATTTTCATGATAAAAAAAAAACTAGTAAAAATATTTTTAAAAATATGTACATTTTCATAAATGTCGCAAAATTAAATCTGTTTCTAAACTAATTACTTTGAAATTATTACACTTCAGGTGTTAAAAAAAATGATGATGGTGTTTCCAAACATTTCATTTAAATAATACAATACGATTTCCTCTTTTAAATTACTTAATTATAAGCTTACAAAAGACTCATTAAAATTTACAATGGCGATCGAGTGAGAAGAAGAAAAAATGCCAAACTTTTCGACTGAATTATTTTTAAAGTAAAAAACGAAAACAACAATTGTTTAAAAAATAAATAAGTTTCATTCAATATAAATTAAAAATTACTTTTCCTCGCATTTACAAAAAAATAAATAATTCCCTACTAACAACTAATAGAACTGTCATCAAAATTAATTCTGATATTGTTGCTTAAGATAAGAAAAACTGTGGAAATGGTTCTTTAAATGCAAAATTTCCCAGCACTTGCCTATTTTTAAAAAAGAGAATCAACTGTTAAAAAAAGTAAAAATAAAGAATATTTTTTAAAGACAACGATTGTTATTGCTGTCAACACTATCATTACTATAATGATTAGTCTACACTTCTTCTTTTATGTACTGTGCCCCTTCAGGACGTAGGCGATCAGAGCCCTCCACTACCTCCTGTCCCTTGTAGCTATTAAAGTTTTGTCTTTTTGTTATTTCTCCCAAACCCTGTTCCACCATCCATATTTGCTCAAGACCGTCAAGTATGTCACGCACTGCTTTCTTCTGTCCCACTTACTATCATGTGAGGATCAAATTTTCTAAGCCCTCATTATGTGCCCCAGAAATTTCAACTGCCTCTTTCCGATTTTAAGTATAAGTTTCCTCTTTGTTTCCATTCTCTCCAAAACTTTGTCGTTGCTCACTTTTTCGGTCCATGGTATCCTCAGCATCTTTCTGTACCACAATTCTATTGCTTCAAGTCTCTTAATTCCTTAATCTCTTGTTGATAGTTATAGTGTACACTAGTGTAGAAATATACGAAACCCAAAGTAGGCATTATGACACCCATTCTGGTAAGCGGCGAAGAGTGTATACCAGGCACATGCATCACAGCCAAATATACGCAACACGGTGACAGGTTTTGAACCTTGTGTAAAAATGGGGCCCAATTGTTTGTTTTTTTTCTTTTTAATAATAATAACAAAGTAAAAAACAAAACAAAAAAGAAACCTGTAAAATAAGGACCTGCCAATCGAAGTAACAAAAATGTGAAGACTACGATTTTCTCTGTTGGTTAAAAAGGGTAACGAAAATCATGTGAGTAAAATTCCTGGACACATTCTTAGAGATACAAAAAAATATTACTTCGTTCGAAACTGCACATATCATCGGCAAAAAAACTCTCCCTATCTAAACGAAATGTCCCAAACGTGCATAGATAACTCTTCTACAGTGCCTTTTTTTACTGATAGACCCCGGAAGGAATTTGGTAATTATTAAGAAATTAAAATTACACTCTGGCATGATGGGTGGTGATAATGATGATTTCCACACCAGCAGGAGATGATAGCTTTCACTGGAGATCAGGTGGCAACAAGCAACTCCAATTCTCCAGGATTCTACTAAATTTTCTAGCTGATTTTACGAGTGGTGTTGGCTGGCAAAAAATTTTTTTGACTCTTTCTTAAATTTCAAATTCTTCCGAATTCAAGATGTTACAGATTGTTTGAAATTTGCGAATAATGTTGGGTACGGCTCGGTTCATGTTCCACTGACTTTTTTTGTTTTATTTATTTATTTATTTTCAGAACTCAACTTACACATCATTTATTTATTTTAAAGTTGTCAAAATTGATAATTCTAAAATAAAAAAAAAATGAATGTTAATTTTTCAGGACTGACTTTCTAACACAAAAAATACCCATTGGAATAGAATCCTAATTTGTGCCAAACGTCAGACTCAGTCACAAAAAAAAAGTAAAGTGATTGTTTCTCTGTAACAAAAAGAGACCGCGCTAATTTTAAAGAAAACATACTTTTACGTTTAAAATCAAAACTGTCATTTAAAAAAATTCTTTTTATACGAAATTAAAAAAAACCTGTAAAATCTTAGAATCTTGAGTCTTTCTACATATTTTGACGCGAAAACAAAAGAAAATGTTAACAAAAGAGAAAAAAACTTTTTTCAGTCTTTTTCTTTTTTCTTAAGAATCGGAGATCAATTAGGTTGGTTTTTAAATGTCATCAAGGTAATGTCTATTTCAAACATGGCTTCTAATTACATTTACAGTTTAGATGGTAAATTTGACTTTTTCATCCCTTCTCAATTTGAAAACGATTATGCCGCGGCACCGTACGCCCATATTAATTTACTTGAGAAACTCGTCAAAATTCATTTAGATTTCTCGACCTACTTTACATTTTTGAAAATAAAATAAAATAAAATAAAATCCAATCGTTGAACGACATATTGCCTTCTCTTTCAATCGGAGATCAATGTCACTGATTTTAAAACTGTTATAAAATATTCCTATTTCAATTTTTAAAAGGTGGTTTCAGTTTACAACTTTACAAAAGTGTCTCAGTAGAAATTCATTTAATTTACTATGATTTTTGTTATCTACTCACACATTCACATTTAAAAAATATTAAAAAAAAGGAAGAAAATGTGTAACGTTGAAAAAAACCCACTTTCTCAGACATTCTACTTTTTACTTCGATCAAAGATCAATTTTTTTATTGATCCTAAATACGAATCGATATTTTGATCCGACCTTCTTTAAACAATCACTGATTTTAATTTCTTTCTCGTGTCTGTAGTTCCTTTATCAATGCATTTGATAGATAGATAGATAGATAGATAGATAGATATTTCCCTTAAATATTTAATTATTTCCTTTTAATAATTCCCCGCTAACACCATGCATCCCACACACGGCACTGTTTGGTTTTCTGGTCTCAAAATTTCACTAAATCTAAACTTTTATTCTATTGTTCACCCAATACGAGGTCCAAGAGCATCTCAAGGTCAAGGGTTACTGAATTAATTAGATTGTTGTAAAGAGGAGGAGAAAGAAGAGGCATACTACAAGGATAGGTCACTGACTTTAAGGAACCATCATTTTTTTTCTCTCAAAAAGCCTGGAAAGACAAAAACTGTCTATGATTGTCAAATCTCAAGTCTGTGTCTCAGCGCGCACGAGTAAATTTACATTCCTCAGTATAAACTAAGTTTTAAATTTAAAAATAATCTCAAATTATGAAAGCATTCTTGAGGGGGGGGATGTAAATATCGTCGCACTGTGATATGGTGTGACTAAAGGTCAGTTTTAAATTTTCAAAAAACTGACCTTAAGTCACACCATATCACAATGCGACGATTAAAACTTTTAAATGTGGGTTGTACATTGTATGAATGAGCCCAATCCTGTGCGACCACTTTCGCGTTGGCATTATTCACTAATCTTCATTTCTTTAGTGCAATGATGGAGGTGCTGCCGCGGGGTTAGAATCCCCAGGGCAAAGCTTTTCCATAATTTGAAAAGGAGAACAGATACCACGCTTTGATATCTTGGAGGATATGAAATATTTTCTGGATGTAAATCTGAGACGTCGGTAAACAGACCCTTCAGTCACCTGTGTTTTTTGTAGGAAGGCTGACCTTTGTCCGGGGGTCTCAGGTGGGGGTTGTATGGCGAGTAAGAATTTGTACATTTAAAATTATTTAGCATCATTTTCTGAGTGTGGGGAAATTATTTTCAAAGCAAACAAGATTTCTTTCACTTTAAAATTTATTTACTATTTTGACCTTGTGCCAAACCTGACGGGACTTTTTTATTATTATTATTATTACAAAGCGAAGTGACTTAAAGAGATTTACGCTTTATTGGGCTGGCATGATGATGTTTTTTCAGTGGAGCTGCTCTAGAGGATTGAACTCACGTCTCAAGAGACGAATGTGCTGGTTATTGAATGTGTGTGTGTGTGTTATTCACTGTATAAAAAAATGTGCGCCTAAATTGCCTTTAAAAACGGACGTGTGTGGATGACAGACTTCACGTGCGAGTTTTTTTACGTTTGCAGAAAAAATATGCGTGTGTATGTTTGCTTCGCTGAAGAAACATGATTTGTAGTGAGGAAGAGAGCAGACATGATTTTCATGAATTTCTTTTGTAAAAAACTCTTACACACACACACACACACACGAACTCACGTAACGTTTGTTTACAAGTTAAAAATAAAGAAATTTAATTTTTTATTTGTAGAAATTATGTTTCATAATATTTACAAGAAGCTTTCAGCTTTATTTAGTTTTATGGATAAAAATTGATTCATTCTCTGCATATACAACAGAGCAGAATGTAATATTTTTTTTAAGTAGTGTACTTGTGTGTGTACCGTATCCACACGATTCGATACGGGTTCTACACGACCCAAAGTGGGATTTTAGTGGGTATAAAATCTAATCTGCATATAAAGAACAAATAATGTATTCCGGGTGCCAAATAAAAAGGTAGGTGGGAGGAGCACTGAGAAAATTTAAATAGTATATTTGAAATGGAAAATGAAAAACTATTCATTCAACAAGCAAATAAGAAGATCTCGAACATAAGTTTTTTTTTTCTATAACTTGCTGTGAAAATAAATGGCTGTCAAAGTCTTTTTTTAAGTAAAAACTTTTTAATTATTAATTTTTTTTTTTTTTAAATTAAAACTTAATAAAATCGAAAATATTTTCCATGAAGTCTTGCCAACATTACAATTAAAGGTCTGTTAAAAAAAAATATCAAAAATTAATAAGCAGGATAGAGGTGGGGGCCCAAATAAGCTTCGGGTGGGATTGGAAAAAAATGCAAAAATTAACATTAACAAGCTATGTGAGGGCGTGTATTTGTCACTGAAGAGGACATTGTATGTGCGTTGATTCATTTAAGAATAATACTGATGATAGAATACGATAGATATGAACGGACTGAAATAGATAGATAGATAGATAGATAGATAGAATAATGAACAGAGATAGATATATAGATATGAACAAATAGAATAACGGACTGAAATAGATAGAATAAGACAGATATGAATGGACAGAATAAGATAGATAACAGACTTAGATAGATAGATAGATAGATAGATATGAACAAATAGATAGATAGATAGATATGAACAAATAAATAGATAGATAGAATAAGATAGATATGAATGGACTCAAATAGATAGAATAAGACAGATATGAACAGACTTAGATAGATACATATGAACAAATAGATAGAATAAGATAGATATGAATGGACAGAATAAGATAGATAGATAGATATGAACAAATAAATAGATAGATAGAATAAGATAGATATGAATGGACTCAAATAGAATAAGATAGATATGATCAGACTTAGATAGATACATATGAACAAATAAATAGATAGATAGAATAAGATAGATAACAGACTTAGATAGACAGATAGATATGAACAAATAAATAGATAGATAGAATAAGATAGATATGAATGGACTGAAATAGATAGATAGATAGATAGATATGAACAAATAAATAGATAGATAGAATAAGATAGATATGAATGGACTCAAATAGATAGAATAAGACAGATATGAACAGACTTAGATAGATACATATGAACAAATAGATAGAATAAGATAGATATGAATGGACAGAATAAGATAGATAGATAGATATGAACAAATAAATAGATAGATAGAATAAGATAGATATGAATGGACTCAAATAGATAGAATAAGATAGATATGATCAGACTTAGATAGATACATATGAACAAATAAATAGATAGATAGATAGAATAAGATAGATAACAGACTTAGATAGACAGATAGATATGAACAAATAAATAGATAGATAGAATAAGATAGATATGAATGGACTGAAATAGATAGATAGATAGATAGATATGAACAAATAAATAGATAGATAGAATGAGATAGATATGAACAGACTGAGATGGAAAAATTTTTCCAGTAAATTTCAAATGCAGAAACATGCATGTTTTTTTTGGATTTGCTATATTATAGTATATCCCCAACAAATACATCTAAAATGCACATTGATACACACAAATTTCATACCAGACACACACTCCTGAGTGAATGTACTCTTGAGTGAGAGAGAGAGAAAATAGGTGTGTGTGTGTGTGCTACTGACAAAGCTTTCTATGATTCCGTGTTACTCTTCTTACGTCTGCTTAGATAAGATGGAAAACTTCTGTTTGGCTTGTGGCAAAAAGTAACTGGTTTTTATTTATCAATAAATGCAAAGTACTTATTCTAACTTATCTAATTCACGTGTAGCAGCCCGTATTTCAAAAGAGACATCAAGCAATCTTTTTTCAATTATCAACCACATAACATTCTCATAATAATGATAATAATAATAATTTTTAAAGATCAGTAATCATAACAGTTTTATCCTAACACGAACAGATACAATAAGCAGAAGAAGAAGAGATAGAAGAGGAAGGCAAGGAGGTTTTAATTACAACCATCAATTTTGGGGCCCATCCTCAAAAATCTAGAGTGATATTCAAATTTAACCTTTAACACTCTGCATTATTCACTACTTTGTTTCCCAATGCATTGTTTTTCAAGGCTCCTCTACTGTACTACTTAATTTCAGTCATGGTCATTCTCTGTTGCCATAGCAGGATATGACAACACAACTTCAAAATTCAAACATGATATCATTTATTCATTTGAGTCAATTGCAGTGGAAGGATAAAATTTTTGCTTTGCAAACAAAATCACCTCCAGAATGTTAAAGGTTTTATTAATTAAAAAATCTAGCATGAAAATATTTCAGATGCATGTCAAAAAGTCACACAAAAATAGGATCAACTATATATATATATATATATATATATATATTAGGATATTAAAACATGTTAAAAATCACTATGCAATTACAATTATGTTTCGACACCATAAATGTGTCTCTTCAGGCAATGTTAAACTACTGGCAAGTGAAATTAAATTAATCTTTCACTCGCCAGTTATTTAACATCACCAGAAGAGACACATTTATGCTGTTGAAACGTAACTGTAGTTGTGTAGTGATTTTTAACATGTTTTAAAATAAATAATATTTACCTCTACTACGTAATGAAGTCCCTTTTAAATTAAATGTTACGTACATTGGAATCATACTTCATTTGTTCTTATTTTACCTATATATATATATATATATATATATATATATATATATATGAAGAATTATACTCTTAAGCTGTGCTATATTTATGGGATAAAGTGCTCAATATCAGAGATAGAGCATGTGTAAATATAAAAGTGAACATAGAAGTCAACACTTAGAGGTGACAGTCTCTAAGTGTTGACTTGTCTGTTCATTTTTATATATATATATATATGGGTGAATACGATACATAAACTGTATATAAGGCTAATAATGGGCAACTGAATGACAAAATAGAAAAACAAATTCTATATTATATATGTTGTCCTTTGAAAAGATTCCTTCACAGTAAATAATGTTTTTATCAATGAAATCAGCTGGAAGCTAAATACCTTCACTCCATATACGATTCCAACAATAGAATCTTTATCTCTTCTGAAGAAGTCCTTTCAAAGGATGACACACATAACATACAATTTTTTTTCTAATTGATTATTCAGTTGCTGATTTGACATTTATATACATCATGTACATAATATGTTAAAAGATTCCCTTTCTCTGCTGTGCGGCAATAGCTTCGGGATAGAGTCTCTGATAGCAAATCGGTCAAGTTTCAATCCCGGCTTGAAGCAATCAGATGTCTAGTCACACTGATGAGCTGGGGATATATATATATATATATATATATATATATATATATATATATATATATATGTGTGTGTGTGTGTGCGTGTGTGCAGATATGTAGAAAAATACGAAAGAACACGTTAGGTAAATAATCTGGAGTTCTTTAGTATTTTTGTTTTTATTTTTAAAAAACAGTGCTCCATACAGAAGTAGAGCTTAAATTATAATTATTCTTTAAAAAATATGATTCCTTTGCTACATAAGAGTTCTCATGTTTCAAAAACAAGAGCCGAAAACCTCATCATAATTATTAAAATTAAACTGAGTTAAAGTATCAAGCCCTGTTTCATCCTCAAGCAAAAATTTAGGAATAACCAATCTTGAAATTTACGCATTTTTATAAGCATGTTCATTTGCAAAATTAATTACTATGGAAACGGCTGGGGCGACCATTTTAATAAGGGGCCTAAGTGTTAATTTTTATCCACATATCAGTCACCTTCAGAAAAACAATGGAGGTTCTGTGAAAAAACTGACAAAAATAAAACCAAAAATAAGATTAGAAATTTGAGGACATGTTAGAAAAAGAAATTTTTCAACTAAATTTGTTTATTAAATTACAAAATATTTAAGTTTCTATCACCCAAAATACAGTTAAATGTAATACTTTGCAACAGGTTGTAGTCATTCAACTCCAAAATACCAGCTAACTACACAAATCTATGCCAAGTAACTGCATTTCTCCAAAGAGACAAACAAAGTAGAAACAGAAGTGGCTTTACTAAAGTTTACTATAATGAACTTCCTTTATATCAGACACAGGTTCATTTTGACAAACTTTTCAAATAATAAGGTTGTTTACTCAAAAATATAGGTTCACAAAAATGATCTTAATATATCTATTTTCCTTCACAAGGGTAATTGTGTCTTACTTTGCTGTTAAGTCCTTTGGGGCTGGGCAGTTTAAAATCATGCTGGGCAATATAGTGGTTTCACCTATATAAGGGGGACACAGGTTCAAAACCTAATAGAAACCATATCCCCCTTCATTAAAGACTCATGAAAAATTCAGACCAGTAGATGCCAAATATTCTGTTTAAAAAACAGAGATGTCTACTCAAAAATATGTATCCACTAAATATAACATTTATGGTAATAAGGAAAATATTGGAGTTAAAAAAAAAGAATCTGTTAATTCCTTCTGTTGTGTCCTGTTTAGGGGCAAGAAAGAAAGACATAGACGATGAAGGTAGGTTGAATAAGTATATTGAAATAACAGATATATACAAAGCAAGATTATTAGTAATAAGCAGATAGTGTACATCCAAACAGTAGGTTAACACTGCGTCTCCGCTCCCAACTGACTCTCGTAGTTAGTATTTTTATGAGAGGAAGAGTTCATTATACTGTAGGAGGGTTTACCACAACACCTTTGAAATTACTCTCTTTATATATTGGATATGAAAATAAAATTTGCAGATTAATAAAAGTTTGCAGATACAGATTTCCAAAGATCCCATGTGCTTTCTTTCATGAGAATAATTGTGCTTTTTGGCTTTACTGTGAAGAAATAAGGTTTTAGAAAAAGATGAATATTCTGTGAAACAAAATGGTAAAGAATCACAGACTTGTGATTATCAGAGCAGGAAGTGGAATCAGTGCCATGATCATGCGTCCCATAACCCATTAGGATCATAAGTGGACCACCATAGTAGCAGTGATCTGTCATTAGCAAGATAACCTGAGGGAACCCATCACTCACTAGGTTGGTTTGAATTCAGAGTTTTCCTTCTGTTAGACTGGTTGCCAACCAAGGCTATAGGACCTAGTCTGTCTTACTATTTACCCATAGCTGAGGGGAGAAGTGATAGATTCATACCTTACCCAAGAGTTTTTGTGCATAAGTGAATGTAACAAACCTGACTGGAATTTGAACTCAGCTCTCTTATTTCTCATTCAAAATTGCAATTCATTATACAAACGCGTATCCACAAATCAGTGTACCAAGTTCAAATTCCAGCTAAGTTCATTGCATTTACTTTTATACAAATACTCTTGAGAAAGGGATGAATCAATCTCTTCTGTGCACTAATTATATATATATATATATATATATATATATATATATATCAGTGGTGACTCTGAGGGTTGGTCATGTCAGGCTCAGCTTGAGTATGTCAACATTCAAGTATATGTATTTCAAAACAACAAAAATCTTTTTGTAGTGTGTCGTCTTCATTCTTGACTTTAGCTGGATCGAAAATTGTTTTAAATCTGTGCCTCAAAATATTGACTGAAATACATTTTGTTGATATTGTTCATAATAAAGAAGAAAGAAACAAAAAAAGAAAGGAAGTAAAAAAAGAATAAAATAAAATTAATGTGGCTAGTCAGGCTGTGTAGATCTGAGCCCTATCAAAGGTGGAGATATACTTAATAGGCAATGTATTTCTTGCTTTAATTTTATAAATAATCTTTTAAAAATCTCTAATGAATTGTATGCCCTATTTTTCAAAGAGCACATTTTTATTTCAACTTATTGTTTTTAAATGTCCATTTTAAATAATTTATTCCATACAATATAAGGTTTTTTAGCAGAATGTATCAATTGTAAAAGAGCAAATTAAATTTAGCCTGACTTAAAGTCAGCAAAAATCAAAGAAAGTAGCAGCCTTAACTCCTGGACTTGGAGTAGTGTTGAGGAAATATGATATTAGTCAACTATTCCTATCTCTACCATCAGTGACTTGATAACCAGGTTATGAAACAATAAAAAATGGAAAGGGGACAATAAAGAGACAAAGATATCAAAGATTTTGTCCTTAATCTTTTTTCTTCCATGTCTGTAAATTTTTTTAAAAAATAAATCTTTATTTTCATAGAATTATTACAATTAATATTAAATTACAAAAATGTGTTGTTTTTTTTTTTATTTAAAAAATTATATATTTTATTTAGAGTAAAGGAATTATTTTAGCATCTAAGTTATACCAATAGTATATTTTGTTAAAGATTGTAATGAGCCCAACAAACATTGATGACCTAGAATTGCCACTTTTATATATATATATATATATATATATTAATATTAATAATCTTATCCCAAACAAGACAGTAAAGCCACTAAAATGCAAGGAGTTACTGAATGTTAAAGAATATGAGAAAAAATAGTATTAAGGAGAGAGAACAATAAAAGAACAAGAATTAAGAAGACAGAAGATAATGATTGATC